GAATACGACCGCCGCGGGCCATCCTATGACCGCCCCCATCACTATTGCACCGACACATAATTTCTTCACGGTAGAGTTATTGAAGTGCTGTCCCAGTCTGCAGATACGTTTATACCTGTCTATGGATATCGCCACTAGGGTCAGGGCTGACCCCATGGCCGAGAGAGATTCTATGGTTCGTAAGAGTTTACATGCTGCGGGGGCATAGAACATGTACGGATAACGTAGATCCGCTATTTCCACCGGAATTCCAATAATACAGGTCAAGAGATCCAGGAAGGCGAGAGTGAGAATAAAATAATCCGGAGACAGTTTCGTTTTCTTTCTGAGATATACAATACACACCAGAATATTGCCAATAATCCCACAGATCATTAACACGAACAGAAAAATTATCACAGGTAAATAACGCAAAGCCGCTTTGTCATTTAATTCCTTTAAAACTAAATATGGATCCGGATGGGTAGAATTTTCCAAAATTATTGAAAAATTATTAAGAGTTGATGCGTTCGTTTCCATTTTCCTTATTTACTGTAATTTATTTTCCAACATGCATGACTGGTAATGTTAACAAAGTCAATGAACGAAGACCAGGGACGACAAAATCCCTTGATGAAGCTCGGCAAACCAGACACTCCATAGTTTTAAAATGACACACCGAAATCCGTATAAAGCCTCATCTATGGTTTATCTTGAGATCTTTCAAGAGGGCGCAACTTGAGAATAACGGAACTTTTTTTTTTTATACACAGAACAAGGAAGTTACATAATAATTTAATTCCTTATGGCGAAGATTTACGAGTTTTTAACACAGTCGACTCTTTATTCTCCTTCTGTCAAATTTTTGTCGATGTTGGAAATACCCTTCCGATTTCTGAACATTTAAAGTTCCCCTCATAGATAACACAAAATGCACTCTCATGTACTAAGGTTTTTTTCAGCGGCTTCGTTTTAAGGTGTCCTTCCGAACTGCGCTTTAAATCTCTTTTCTTTAGTTTTAGGTACAAAAGAGTGTCTAATCGGGTAGAAATGTTTATAAAGCACTCTCCAAGGGGATTATATATCAAAGTAGGTCGACAATTCAAATACCCGGACAGTTTTGTGTATTGAATACTCAGGTTTGAAGCTCCACATGTAAAAACATGAATGTTATGATATAACCAATTGAGATAAAATAGAGTTAAGTATTGGCTTTATACCACGTTTGTACCTTAATGATCACGGATAACAATAGAACATGTACATATAGATATAAACTTGATAAAACAAAATGTCAGGGACCTACGCACGGATTGACATATCAATGTTTTGTCATGATTAAAGTTCACATGTCGCTAATCTGTCAATTTTAACCATATTTTTGAACAATTTATACTAATATGACCCATCATATCATTTCGTTCTTTATCCTCCCCTGCTGTGAATACCACGAATCGGTGAATTTTAAATGAACAATGACTTTTGACACAAATACATTTTACGTATTTCTGAGGATAACGTTTAAATAATGACTTGTTATTCTCTAAGAAAATGCATGCGCGGATCTAGAGGAGGGTGGGGGTTGAGGGGGTTCCAAACCCCACTTGGAATTTGCAGAGTTATTAAATATATATACATGTATTTAACCAAGTAAAAGTGACCCCCTACAAAACGGCGACCCCTCCTTAAAAACACGGATCTATGTGATATTGGTATGAAAAGTCATTAGTATGTAGCTTTAAAAGTCATGAACCCGCCATCCCCTCACCCCCAACCCCTAGGCGATTGGATTTCACATTTGGGAAAAGGGCTAACATTTTTTTGGTGTTTTTATTTACTTTTAAGAAATTTCTGGGTTGGAATTTTTTTTTCTGACTTGTGACCCCCCCCCCCTACCTGGAAAAATTTTTTTTGGATCCGCGCTTGAAATGCGTAATCTGAGTTTCAATAATAATAAAAAATAATACCATGCAAAATATAGTTGATTTCATAACACCATTTCAATCATTATAGATTGTAGGCATGTAAAAAAAGGGGGGTCCCAAACTTTTCCTGAACTTACTGTTTTGTTTTAGTTAAAATATTATAATTTTAATTTCGATGCCCTCCCCCAATTCTCTTTCTTTAAAGTTGAGAACATCAAAATCCGGATTCGGAAAAAGCAACTAAAGTGGGGAAAATGCCCCCACGACATGAAATTTTCTCGGTTTTTACTTATTTCTCTTCTTTTTTTTTACTTTCTCTTCTTTTTATAACTCATATTTATGCATTTAATGATTGAAAAAATAAAGTAAGAGTATTTTTTATGAAACTGAAATTGCCTTAATGTGTTTTATTTTGTGTTTTCCTCGTAAACAGTGACTCGTGTATTGAAGTATCTAAAGCAGAAAGCATACAGTTTGTTAGTGTTTTAAGTGGGTCAAGTGTTTGTGTAAAAAAATATGAAGTAGTGACTCATACAAAATAAATTTGAACTTAAAAGTGGGCACAAAATTTCTGAAATACCCTTGCTTTTATTTTTAAACCGAAAAGTAAATTTTATAGATACAAGCCATTCATAAAATTAAAAATCATAAAAAAGAATCAATGTTAAATTGAATTATTTATTATATCAAGAAATACCTTAATACAATAATAAAATCTAATATCCTGAGAGAATCAAATTGAAGAATTTCTTTCTTTTTCTATTTATTTATTGTTTGTTTGTTCAGTAACAAAATTATGCTTAAAGTAGTCCTGAATTGTAAAATCAACTAAGTAAGACAACTAGGTCCTTATGCACTTTAAAAATACAATTAACGTTTAAAAGCTCCAGAGGAAGCATGAAAGATATGCACAGTGTAACAGAGTGGCGATTTATTTAGAAAACAAGAGTTTTCAGATTAACTATGTTTATTTAGAACTATAGTTCTGTGTTTTTATCCCTGCAATAAGGAAGATTTTCTTAAAAATACTTCATAAATAAGTTGACATATTTCCACTTTCCTACCTATATATATCCTCAATAAAAAAAAAGTATATACAGTACACTTTAGAGATTTGAGTCCATCATATGAATATTCTATATAAGCAGAAATAATACATGTAACTATACAGAATATAAGAATATATACATATTAATTTTTATGCCGGAGAGAAATGCTAAAATCATTGTAAACTTTTTTTGTTGTTGAATTACATGTACTCATATATATGTCAAAGAACTTCAGAGTCAACCGTACACAGATAATATCACGCGTCGGAAGCAAATTGAACACAAGAGGCCCATGGGCCACATCGCTTACCTCAATAACTTGGGTGATGCAGTTCTTTGCCAGATTTCCCCTCTTGCTATACCTATCATGCCCCACTAACCCCTTCCCTTTTATGATTTTAAAACTTTAAAATCTACACAACCCCAGGATGCTTCCACATAAGTTTCAGCATTCCAGGCCCAGTGGTTCTTCAGAATAAGATTTTTAAAGATTTGTTCTATATATCTCTATGTTAAACTTGGATTCCATATTGTGGCCCCGCCCTACCCCCGGGGATCATGATTTTAACAATTTAATATCTACACTACCCAAGAATGCTTCCACAAAAGTTTCAGCTTTCCTGGCCCAGTAGTTCTTGAGAAGAAGATTTTTAAAGATTTTTTCCTTTATATTTCTATGTAAAACTTGGATTCGCTATTGTGGTCCCGCCCTACCTCCGGGGGTCATGATTTTAATAGTTTAATATCTACACCACCGAAGGATGCTTCCACATAAGTTTAAGCTTTCCTGGCCCAGTGGTTCTTGAGAAGAAAATTTTTAAAGATTTGTTCTATATATTTCTATGTAAAACTTGGATTTCCTATTGTGGCCCCGCCCTACCCCAGGGGGTCATGATTTTAACAATTTAATATCTACCCTGCCCAAGGATACTTTCACATAAGTTTCAGCTTTCCTGGCCAAGTAGTTCTAGACAATAAGATTTTTAAAGATTTGTTCTATATATTTCTATGTAAAACTTGGATTCCCTACTGTGGCCCGCCCTATCCCCGGGGGTCAAGATTTTAACAATTTAATATTTAATGAAATTGAACTTCTTTCAGTTCCTTTTTTTCCAAACACTACCACTCACCCACTCACTCATGATAACCGCTTTAAATCTACATAATAAATAAATGAATAAATGTATTTAGGTTTTTAATAAAGTATCCATCATTCTTTGGCATAGTTTTAAAATAAATTATTCGAACATATTTGTAAATGATTTTGCGCCTTTTTTTTTTTACATCATATGATAGAACTATCAATACTGTACATGTGTTATCAAGGTACGTTGAAATAAAAAAGAACGATAATATTGTGCGACGACAGATGTCACATTTTAAGCTATAAGTACGTCTACTTATATCTTTTTTTTATGGTCTTTTTATCTCTACATATTTTTAAAAAAGAATAATTGAGTTTAACTTGAGAGTCATCAACGTCGTTGATGTAAATTTAGTAGATTTTCCTTTGTTTGAAAAGTAAGCACGACTTTCATGACACAATTCATTAAAACATTTATAAACTGTAACTTTTGCATGAAAACTTTGTTACAAAATTGTAATTTACTATTTCAATGACAGGAAAAAAAGATCATTTAAAAACTTTGAAATATTTATAATCTTTGAATGAAGCAAAAATACATTTTTGCCTTTATGTATAATATTAAGTCCTTCAATAATACGATATATACTAGTCCAGTATATCCGATTGTACATAAGTGTTAATACATATATTTAATTCTGAACAATTCTTGCACTTAATTTCAGTCTAATTAATCAAAACTGTTTAAATAATATACAAATATATCATAATAACGCATAAAAACAGCAAAATAAAATTCTCAAATATGTAGGACATATTGTTTTACACATGTACATCTCATATATCTACATTGATAAATCAAATTAAAATTAACAAAACCCAAGAAACATACAAACAAAATATTTTATTTCTCATCAGTCACGTGTTCAGGACAAACACTCCGAACAAAAAAGTTCTACTGTATGAGTCTTCCTTATCAGGATCATCTGTGTCTACAGCATGCTTTACACCTTAATCTTCTGATCACTTCCTGTCGGAATGCAGCATTGAGGAAACTGTAGATAACAGGATTAATGGCGTCGTTAATGAAGTAGGATTTCAAACAAAACTTGTAGAAGACTTCTGCGGGAGGGGTAAGAGTCTTCTCGAAATTTTTCTTGATGTTCCTTGTCACCATGACGACGAGAAATGGTAGATAACTAACAATGAAAGCTACTGTAATGGCTATACATATCACGGTTGTTCGTGAGGTTTTTATTGTGTTCACCGGTGCCATGGTAGTAGTTTCCTCAATACTCTTTCTTTCGCCAGCAATGGTTGTAAAAGATATTAATGATACGTTCGTATTTGTTTCTTGACTTACTTGGGTCGTTGTCGTTATCTCAGAATTCAATTCGCATTTGTTTGAGTTTCCTTTCCTCAGTTTTTGCTTACCTCGTCTGATAAAAATTGATATCTTAACGTAAAGAACTGTTACTATTATAACACAAATTAAGAAATAGAGAAACACAACAGCATAGTAAAGAAGTGGATACACGGTATGTCGTTGTGTATCATCTGTCGAACAATCGGTCCCCTTAATTCCTGGTATCCCCACATCAACAGTCTTTTTGCCGAAAACAATCGCTGCTGGCCAACAAGTTAAAATGCCAACAATCACTGCGCCTGCGCATATCCTTTTTGCCGCTTTACTAGAAAACCGCTCTCCAAGTCTGCATATCCTTTTGTATCTATCAACAGCGATGGCAATTAAAGTAAGTGTTGACCCCATGTTGGTGAGCGATTCCACGGTTCGGAAGATTTTGCAGGCGGCAGGGGCATTAAATGTGTAGGGAAATCTTAAGTCGGCAATTTCTACGGGAATACCAAAGAAACAGGTCAACAAGTCGAGAATTGCTAAATTCAAAATGAAAAAATCGGTGGAAGTTTTCAATTTCTTTTTGATGTAAACAACGCCTACCATCATGTTTCCTACTATTCCGATCAGCATCAGTATGGCCATATAGACAATCACAGGTATATACAAAATAGCCTTTTCATCGTTCAGCTTTTGCAAAAGTTCACTGGCATTACCCGACATATTCCCGGTAACATTATACATTTTGTATGTGGTATATCGAAAAACTACTATTAATTCTTTGGGGGCGTATTCACAGGTGATAATAATTATAAAATATACGATTGTTTTCTAATCTTTTTTCTCTGTTATCTTTTGTGGAGATACAGTACAATTTTAAATGGACTTTATATCATGCATCTATGCGTAGAAATAGAAACATATATTTAGTTTTCATTGCCCAGTATCGACTAGATTTGTATTTTTGCAATTTGATGGTTTTAAATATACTAGAAAATACCACTTTAAGGTTCTTAAGGTTCTTCTTAGTGATAAAAACATTACATTGAATTATTGACCAAAAGGCTTTAATGAAAAAAAATACAAGATCTCTTCAAACCGAAGATTATTTTTTACCTTTCAAAATTTTGTAAATTATCATTGATAGATAGAATTTTTTTTTCAGTAACCATTTTTGTTTTCCAAAGACTACTACAGTAAAACTTGTTTAGTACGAACACGGATATAGCGAATTTACGGATATAGCGAAGTCATTTTGAATCCCCAGCTATATAAATTTAATGAATTTCTTATACGGTTATAACGAATTATGGATATAGCGAAGTGATTTCATAAGTCCCAGCGACTTCGTTATAACCGAGTTTTACTGTAGTTACATTTTTTGACATAAACTGCTGCGCAACGTGTCTTTTGAAGATGGTGGGGGTCTAAACCTACGCCCAGTGTTCAACGCCTATATTATGTCTATCTTTGCAAATAAAGCAGGGTGGCCTAAGCTCCCCTAGACCCTTCCTCCTCCATTCCGACACTTATGCTGTACATACAGTCATAAAACTAGCTAAAATGCTTTTAACATGATAAAGTTAAAATTATCAAATAAATCATTTTAATTGGTTAAATTCGAAAAAAGAATCAGTGCCATTTAAGTATAAGTCACATTATCAAACGATGGGGTATACGATGAGAAACCGATGCGTTTTTGGATGAAAATGGCGTGGTTGCCGGCCGGGCACCACTAGTGATCGGACGGTGACTGAGTCTTTTTTGCGAATCGTTGGGGTCATCGGTAGGAAATAATTCGTAGTTAAAATTCAGCGATGCCTCCAACGATGCCTCACATCGCTCCTCATCAGCAACCCATCATTAAAACATCTTCCAAGGATCGGCTGATGTATGGCCGAGCATCGTCCAATATCCGTTGAATCTGAGGTCATCGGGGAGTTTAGTGGTGTTCAACAGATAACGACCGATCATCGGTCGATGTTCGACCAAACATTGGCCCGTAGTCGACCGATGTACGAACATTGTTCACCTATGTTTGGGCGAAGTAATATACATCGGCCGATTATCCTGGAACATCGTTTTATGATTAGCAATGCATCGGTGGACCTTTATAAGTCCGGCCGGCAACCACGCCATTTTTTTCATAAAACGCATTGGTTGTCCATCGTATACCCCATCGCTAGATAATGTGACTGATACTTTAAGGACTACTTGGCCGATGTGGACCGATGTTGGGGCATCGTTAACACGACGGATTACTACCGATTACCACCGGTCTACGGCTACCGGCCGGGAAATGTGACCTAGGCATTACTGTAAGCCAGCTTTTATTCGCATGCAAGAAATTTTCGCAAGGTTTTCGAGAGCTCCGTCATTGTGAATATTTCTCGTCGCAACCGGACCTTAAGGTCTATGTGTCTATTAACAACAGATTAAAAATAGGCTTGATTTCGAAAATTAATCTTCACAAACTAGTTTATCCCGGAAATAAAGTCGTCGCGAATAAAAATTGATTTACTGTATTTCGCCAGAGAACAGTATCTTCTTAAAAAGACACTTTCATGATAATCGTTTTAAATCTACATAATAAATTTTCTTTCGTAAATAAATGTAAAGGTTTTTGATAAAGTATCGATAATTATTTACTATAATTTTTATAGAAATCATTTGATTTTGCGCCTTTTTACAATTATGATAGAACTATCAAAACTGCGTGTAAACATGATATGGTGAAGCCAAAAAGAAAGATATATTGTCTGACGACATATCTTTATTTTTAAAGCTATACAAGTACGTATGTATACTTATACTTTTTCTTCATATCTCTGCATATTTTTAATATTGTATAATCGAGTTTTATTAACTGGGGAGTCATATACTCAAACTTACTTTAGTGAAAATTTAGTAAATTTTCTTTTATTTAAAAAGTAATCATGGTTTTCTCACATAAATCTTTAAAGCTTCAGATGAGCTGCAGGTTTGATGTTGGAAAATTTTGTTGCAAAATTGTCATTAACTATTTTGATGTCAGAAAAAGGTCCTTAAAAAGTTTTATTGATTATATTTACTACGGAAGAACTATTTATAATCTTTTATTGAAGCAATAATACATTATTGTCATCCTGTAAAGTATTGATTCCTTCAATAATACCACATATCCGATTTTACAATGTCTTAATTCTGAAATAATTTTAATACTTTATTTTAGTCTAATTGATCATTAACATTTAAAAAATTACACAAAAAATTAAAATAACACATGTTAACAGCAAAATAAAAATATAAATAATGCAGCGCATATTGCTGTATACATGTAGGTCTCCTTTTCTAAATAAATCAAAATACACAAAACTCAAGAATCATACATACAAACACAGCATGTTTTTCCAATGAAGTTTTCTTACAAAATAATATGTTTCCATGATTTTGATAAAACCTTAAATCATGATTAAAATTTTATGACAATTAAAAATTAATTTTCTCACGTGCAAGAAAAACACTCCGAACAAATACGGTATAAACTGGTTCCTAGCTGTCAGTTTATGGATTATTTACAACATGCTTTACACCTTAATCTTCTAATCACTTCCTGTCGGAATGCAGCATTGAGGAAACTGTAGATAACAGGGTTAATGGCGTCGTTAATGAAGTAGGATTTCAAACAAAACTTAAAGAAGACCTCTGCTGAAGATGAAAGGGTCTTCTCAAAATCTTTCTTGATGTTTCTTGTGACCATGACAACGAGAAATGGTAGATAACTAACAATGAAAGCTACTGTAATCGCTATACATATCACTGTTGTTCTAGAAGTTTTAATTGTGTTCACCATTGTTGGTTCCTTGAATCCACCAGATGTTGATGGCGCATGCGCATTTGAATCATTACTGACTTCCGTTGTTGTAGTTATTTCAGCATTGAGTTCATGTCTGTTTGAATTTCTCTTGATCAAATCTTTCTTACCTCTCCTGATAAAAATCGAAATCTTCACATAAATGAAAGTTACTATTACCACACAAACTAAGAAATAAAGGAAAACAAGACCATAGTAAAGAAGTGGATACACGGTATGTCGCTGTGTATCATCTGTCGAACAGTCGCTCCCCTTAATTCCTGGTACTCCAACGTCCACCGACTTCTTACCGAAAACAACTGCCGCGGGCCAGCAAGTTAAAATACCGACTATCACTGCTCCAGCGCAAATCCTTTTCGCAGTTTCATTAGAGAAGCGCTCTCCAAGTCTGCATATCCGCTTATATCTATCCACGGCAATTCCAATCAAAGTCAGTGTTGAACCCATACTGGTAAGGATTCGACGGTTCGGAAAAGTTTGCAGGCGGCAGGGCCGTCAAATGTGTAGGGATACCTTAAATCTGCAATTTCTACGGGAATTCCAAAGAAGCAAGTCAGCAAATCGAGAAATGCCAGATTTAAAATGAAAAAGTCAGTAGAACATTTGAATTTCTTCTTAATGTAAACAAGGCATACCATCAGATTTCCCGCTATTCCGACCAGCATCAATAGAACCATGTACACTATGACGGGTATATATAGCACAGCCTTCTCGTCGTTAAGTTTCTGTAAAAGTTTACTGGCGTCAATATCAGAAATATTCCCAGTAACGTTAAATGTGGTATATCGTGAGTCTGTCATCCTTTTTTCCCCTTTTTCGGAGGTCTTTTTAGCGTGTTCGCAAGTATTTAAAATACTTTTTAAATCAATTTTCTTGTTACATATTGACGGGCATATCTTTTATCATTTATCCTTGCCTAGCAACAAAAACATTTCTTTTATCAATCGAAATGTTTCGGGTTTTCAGATAGGCTGGAAAACACCAGTCTCAAACGCGGGGACTATGGATAGTTATCAGTACGCTAGTTTTTTCTTCCTGTTACTTTTGTCGTAGTCCAAGATATACACTATATACTTTCGTACAATAGTTAAGTGCGATTTCTTTTGTTAAAAGTGTGGGTTTATTGTACGTGCATTTACGTTTCTTCAGAAATCTCTGAAGTAAAGTGCCATGTCTGGACATTTGCGGACTTAAACGACAAGAAGTATCAGTAACAGTGATAAAGAATGGTCGAAGACCCCCGTTTTCATACTGGTATATATTAAAGCTTATGAAAAAAGTTCAGAGTCAATATTTGTGGAATTGTTTTAAACGGTTACAACAAATTGCAAGTACACAGAATACGGGACGGGACTGCCCCCTTCTTGCAAACAACAGCTTCACTTATGAAAATGTCAATTGAAAGGCTTGTTACCCCCTCCCCTTCCGACGTCCCACTTACACACATACTTTATGTTGTACCGAAGTTAAATGATAGTAATTTAGTAATACATATTAAATATTTGGCTTTGAAGGAATTTAAACCAACACCACCACCACCCTCTCCCCCCCCCCCTCCCCCAAAAAAATTCTCAATTTTATTTTATACCTTATAGTTTTCATGTTTTTTTTTCTAATGTACCTTTTATACATGTACACCAAAGGAGGGGGTTACAGGAAAGGAATGTTGTGTACGTAGAAATGGCCAGAATGATTTTACTGGTGTGGTATTCTTGAGGTGAAAACATTGAATGGTAAGTACGTGGCGCTCAGCTATACTTTCAATATATTTCCTTTTACAGTTTGATTGCATAAAAAAAATCAGGAAGGATAGGGTTTGAAAAAAAAACAAAAAAAGAATTTGGCTTTACTTCCTCAGTTCCTGTTCTCTTAATTTTTAATTGATGCTAAAATCCAAAAATAACATTGATAAAAAATTCAAAAGTTATTCTATACCGTAAAGGATTACTTTGTAGGAACATAAATTATTAATTTAAATACATGTTTAATAACTATTTCTCAATCACGTTACAAAATGTTTATCTTGTATAAATTCAATCTCAACAAAATTTACAATAAATAAGCCGTATATGAGGTAAATAATAAATTTAAATGTTATAATACTTACATGCACAATATTTGAAAACAGATTTATAGAGGAAAAGATTTCGATAACATTTTTTTTTTATTGAACTTTAATTTTTTTACTTACTCTATAAGTGTTATGAATGAAGTACATTTTCATGTAATTTTATTGTCAGGTTTAGCAATTATTTCCATGGCAAATACTACAAAATAAATGCAAAGCCTAATGGTACAATCATCACCTAAAGAAATTTCTTCAAAGTTTCTATAATAAAGAATCTTTAATTACAAGGAACTTGGTCGTTGTGTGATTCCCGCGCAGATACATATAATTGTACTGCTGTCGGTCGCTGCAAAGAGCGAGGTACGATGTCAATACAAATTTGGCCCGTTTTTTTTTTTTTTAAATACAAAATAAGAAAGTTATGAAAGAAATTTCATATACTAGTATCCTTAAGTTTCTGAATTATTGAAATCCCATGCAGTAAAACCTACTTATCGAAATAATTACAGAAATGGGTCATTCTAAGGCTCTTCTGCATAAAACCATATTAATGGTGTCATATTTCCAGAATGGTCATCCATCATGCCATATTCTTTAATGATTTATCATATTCATCTATTCCTCTTACATTAAAGCCAATTTTATAACTTTTTAAGAACATTAAATTTTAAGGGAACAACCTGTACATACCTCTTCTTTGAAAAAAAAATCGCAAAAGGCGACATTTTTTTTCTACATATACGTTTATGTAGAATAATAGTTACTAGGAATGACTTAGAGAGAAAACACTCAGTTTTAAAAGTTTTCTATTCTCTTTCATCATGAACATAGTTCTTTTGTGCCTCGTTTTCAGTGTTTAGTGAGGTTCTACCTAACAAGTTCGCACTTAAACATTGCTTTCACGTCTTGTTTGAACTTTCTACAGAGGAAGCTGTAAATCAGTGGGTTTATCGCATTATTGATGAAGAAAGATTTTAAGCAGAATTTGTAGAAAACCTCTCCCACTGGTGACATATCTTTCTCCAAACCTTTTACGACATTCCGTAAAATCATGACTGCCAAAAAAGGGAGATAACTCACAATAAACGCGATGGTGATGGCAACAAAGATGGTGGTTGTTCTGGTGACCTTTACTGCGGAAGTCTGTTTTGTGACCCGAGCATGCGCAGGTTCGGTTCCATTTATATCGTCTTCATTGCTCGGAGTAGAATGCACACTTTCGAAATGGTTGATATTGACGTTCATTAATGGTATTTGATGCAGGCTAAGAGTAGTGTTGCTTACTTCGTTTGGTCCAATCACTTTCCTTCTCTCTGTTTTAGCTCTCTTTATGAAGAATGATATCCTTACATAAACAAATATGACGAAAACGACACAGACAATAAAGCACAGCATGATAACACCGTAATATATCAGGGGATATACAGTCTTTTTCATTTCATCCGAAGTTGAACAATCAGCTCCTTTGACGCCCGGAATTCCTAGGTTTATCGTTTTCTTTCCAACCATTATCAACGCTGGCCATGCCAGCAGGGCACCAACTAACAATGCAAGAAGGCAAAGCCTTTTCACCGCTTTGTTGCTAAAATTATCCCCAAACTTACAGATCCGTTTGTATCTGTCTATAGAAATGATCACTAATGTCAAAGCCGAGGCCATGCTGGTCCAAGACTCAATGGTTCTCAAGATCTTACAAGCTGCTGGTGCATCGAACGTATAAGAAAAACTGAGATCTGCTATTTCCATCGGAATTCCTATAGCACAGGTTAGGAGATCTAAAAAGGCAAGGTTAAGAATAAAGAAATCCGACGTGGTCTTCTTTCTTCTCTTTGTATAAATGATACCCACGATGACATTGCCCGCTGTTCCGATGACCATCAGAATAACGAGGAAGAGTGTGACGGGTAGAAATCGTAACGCCGCTTCATCATTTAACTCCTTCAGAATCAAGTATGGATCGAGGGTGGATGAAATTTCAAAAGAATCGTTATAACCTGGTGAACTGTTTATATGAGTGATATTTAAGGTATTCATTGTTGACGATAACATATTGTCGTCTGTTTAAAAGGCGATGTATCCAACGGATGAACTTTTAATCCTTCAGATAAGTATAGATACTTCTGAAACACACATCGGGTTGCATCTAGGACGAATGTCAAGTGGAAATATGTCATCGTAAAAAATATATAATAGACAGGGAAGTATGATTTAGTGATAAATTTGACGAGATCTATATCTAGATCGGTGAGACTTTTTTATCCTCATAGTACCACTTGTTACAGCAGTGTACAATATTCCCATTATTTAAATTTCATTTAACTTCCATTTGATTGACAAGACATATGTTAGTGTGCTCGCACAAAAATGAAATGAAGTCTAAATGTTTTTAGTTTTACAGAATTTTCTGATTTTTTTACTAAAATATTTTAAATGAAATGTAATATGGAGATAACGAACAGTATACACAGGGGCGGATACAAGATTTGTGGTTAGGGAGGGGGGGCGTGGATAATGTTGTCGAGGCAAGGGGTCTGGGAGCCGCCTTAAGGCCCCCTGTGGGTCCCGGGCGAAGCCCTGGTGAGGGCCAAGGGTGCGAAGCCCCCGGAAGCTCCTGGGTTTTCGTGTATTTTAGAGTAAAACCAGGCACAATAATAGTGCATATTTTTCAATTATTTTTGTTTAAAGTGGCATATATGTCCGGATGTTTGAATGATAATTGTATTGAATGTTTCTCAATTCTCATTGTATTGTAACACATGCCACTTTAATAAACGATTTACTTACTTATCACTTTATACTAATAGTGGTATATTGCTTAGTGATGTGATGTACCACGGTACGACGTATTTAATACTAGTCCTATCATACTTTGAATGGGGGGACCATGGGGCGCAGCCCCCGGAAGCTCCTGGATTTTTGTGTATTTTAAGAGTAAATCTAGGCAGAAAAAAGTGGTTTGGTTAGTTTTGTACCAAAATGTGGCATTATAAATATAAGTCACATCATACTTTGAAAATTTTGGGGGGGGGGGGCGTGCGCCCCCCACGCCCCCCTTAAATCCGCCAGTGATACAATCTCAAAAGTTCTTTAAACCAATGCATATCAGGAGCTTAGTATACACGAAGCTCCTTAACATTAGAGGTGAGATCAGGTGCCATGGAGAAGTGAGAGTCCCCTGTCGACTGGCTACACTCGCCGTGTGCTCCTTGTCACAAACGGAAAATAACGGGGAAATTCGATGACATTTCAGAAAGTAAATAATGTTCTAGCAATAAAAGTATTATGAAGATGTCCATAACCATTTGAGCTAATCATTTTATTTGGCAAGCTGATAAGATCATGTTATCGACTATAGAACTTGTGAAATAATGTCTTTAATTGAGACTGCTGCTATTCTTCTTTCATAATTTTGTTTGTGAATAGCTTACATTGTCTCAAAAATAGTGTCTATCAAATCCACATGGAAATATAAACCCATAAACATCACAGAGAAGCATTTAATTTATTTTTATATAGCTATTGATATCTACATCCCACACCAATGCTATCTACATCTTACACCAGTCGATGTATGGCACTTAAAAAAATTATTACTTAGATCTTGGTATACACGTAGTTACTGAACTATTTGCTATAACAGCATACAAAAAGTAGTCTAATTTTATTTCATAGTACAGGACAAGACAGGGTTAGATGGTTTGGGATGTCTTTTTAGAATGATGCAACAGTTTATAAATTGAAAACCACTACATAATCACCCCTGCCACAAAATTGGTGTTGGTGTTATTGGATACACAGAGGTTACCTGTAGGAAGGTCAGAAAAAAGGTCAAATTCCGATTTGTCTCATTTTTATGCAAATTTTAATCAATTTTAAAGTACTTTTTTCCGAAAACATAGAGCAGACTTGCCTTTCTACAAAACTTTGTATATTTCATACACTAGTATCAGATACTTCTTTTGTGTAAAAAAGCCCAGATTGGCAAGCTTGTGTTCTATGTTTTCCGAAGTGAAAAGTATCTCGAAACTATATGCGGTATATTGCATATATTTGCCCCCCCCCCCCCCCCAAAGTCAAATTTTGAAAACTTCCTGAAATGTGCTGAATTCAATAAATTGTATGGGAAATATAAATTAACAGAACATATTATTGTTTCAAAGTAGTTAATTCACAATTTTTGTTTTTATGACGTCACAAACCAGTCCGATTTTATATCCTTTTTCAAAAAGAGGACAAAATGGACAAAATTTCAACAATTTTAGCTTTAAAATTTATAGAGCGCAAGTTTGTTCAGGAACAATATTGACATATTTCATTGATATTATCATTCTTCACATTATATCAAAATATTAAGCCTGAACACACATGCGCTCGGTGACTTTTATTCAAAATATCGACGAAATATGTACATTTTTCTTTAGAAATCATAAAAAACTGAAATTTACGTCATGTTTGTGACGTCATTTCGTACATATGACGTCATTACTTATGAAAATATTCAGTGCGTTGAAGTCAGCATATACCCCCTATTTAAGAACATAATTAAATATTTCTCCATCAAGGTTTAGTTTGGGGGGGAGCAAATATCGGTTATTACCGAATAAAGTTCTTTGTCGAAATTCCACCAGAATTGAGAACATTCAGGAAAACCTCCAATTTTGGAACCCTTCTGTTGCCTCCGTGTATGCTTTGAATCAAAATTAGCGATGTTTTTAAAACAAGCATAAATTCAAGTTCTTAATTACAAACTATCACAGTTTTTAAAACTGTGTTCTGATTTTTACATAAAAAGAAGGACCAGATTCAGCGGTTACCAGACTTTGTACTTTAAAATTTGATGAACAAATATTTCTAGCGAGTTATTCAGTTTATAATTATGACTTTTTGGCGAATGGTAGAAGTGCACTTTAATACAAAAATTGCTTATAAGTTATAATAATTATTTAAAATTGAATTGGCCCCTCGTGTAATTAAAATCTGTACTAGTCTATCATTTTTTCAATCTAAAATTTACTTAACAATGAAATGGGAAATATATGGAATAAATGTCAAGTATATTTCCATATATCGTAGATGTCCCTGGTATACAAAACAAACTAGACAGGGATTCCCTTAATTAATCCGAATCAGCCTTGCTGAGTCCTTTTTCAGCCACGGAAGGTGACACAGCTAATATGACCTCACATTAAGAATTTTTTTTAAAATAATTTCATCAGTAAAATAGATTTTGAAATAAAACAAAATTTTATTTTCATCGTATATTATTTAATAATGAAATTTCATTTTATATTGTAAATAATCTCATCTTAATTCAGTGTTGGTACAGAGTGTAATTAAATTGTGGCTGTTATATGACTAAATATATCACACAAACTAGTATTGTATAAACATTTTAAACTTCAACGAAGTGTTTAATGAAAAGACTAGTTCTGTACAATTTTTCCATGATTCCAGAAATGAAGGGTTTATTATAGGATTAAACGTTCTTTTTGAAAAATTTATCGATGTGTAAACTCTTGACATTTTACTCACAAACTAAATAAAAGTGCGAAGCACTTTTATGTTAAGTTTGTGAGTAAAATGTCAAGAGTTTACACATCGATAAATTTTTCAAAAAGAACGTTTAATTCTTATAATTCCAATATCGAATTTTTAAAAATATTTAAATTATTTCTCTTTGAGGCCTCCATACAATCCGTTATTTCTGGACGGCGTAGGAATACATTTTACCGTAAAGGAACGTAATCGAGATGAATTTCGATCGAGTTCAACTTAAATTGTCAAAACAATCGATAAATAAACTTATAACAACTAATTGAATGTTGTTTAAGTCAACAAATATCGTAATTACGAGTTTACTTCAGAATAGTTCGTCTTTGACCATGGCCATGTTGACATAAACTCTCATAGCGAAAGTGAGCAGACCGACGACGCCTTCAATTTTCACTTATTTATTCAAATATTGAGGAACAATATAGAAAGTAAATATGAATTTGATGCTAATAGGGCAAGAGTTTGAGGTACGTTTCTTTTCCCTGTCAAAACGATACAGACTGAGCTTATTTTCTACGTATGAACGTTGAGACAGCGATTTTTAAAATTCACACTCGTGATCGGACAGTGACATAAACATTTTCACGGCGTCCATCAGTTAGGCAGTCTAGTATGTTGCCAGTTTTGTTTAAGCCCTAATTAAATTTAAAGTTTCTTGTATTCATTATTTAGCCAGAACAGACCCAGAAATAACTGCTTTCATTGTTTATACGATAACCTAGTAGTGTCATCAAGAAAGTAGTTCTGATTGAAAGAATTTATCGATGTGTAAAAATTTTCTGGAACGTGTTCTCGTCCAATCAAAACACAGGAAATCAATAGATAAAATGAAGATTGGAATTATTCATTTACATTTAATTACCCTGATTGCCTCTGTCCTGAAATTTCTGTTAAGGAAACTGTAAATGATTGGGTTAATTGCATTGTTAATAAAGTACGACTTCAAACAAAACTTATACAACACCTCGGCCGCTGGAGATAAAATGTCCTCAAAGTTTTTCTTAATGTTTCTTGTAACCATGACAACAAGAAAGGGCAGATAACTCACAATAAATGCTACAGTAACGACAATAAAAATGGTGGTTGTCCTGGTGACCTTAATTGTGTTGACCATTCTCCCGCCATTCGTTTTGTCCTTATCGCTGATTCTTATTTCCCCTTGACGAGATGACTCGCTTGATTGCTCTTCGCTGATTGGCTGAGAGCTAATAGGGGGCAAAGGTGACAACGCATGCCTGGTTTCTTTCTTTTGCTTTGATTTACCCTTTCGAATGAATAATGATATACGCACATAGACGAATGTTACAAAAATAACACAAATGATGAAATAGAGCATAACAATCCCATAATACAACAGCGGATATATTGTCTTTCTCATTTCATCTGCAGTGGAACAGTCCACAGCAATTGCCCCTGGAATTCCCACGTCGACCGATTTCTTCCCGAACACCATTGCGGCCGGCCATCCGGTCATGGCACCTATACAGTCCCTGAAACGTTCTACTTTCCCATTTTTCCGTTCTCTCACCGTTCGTTCAGCGTTCGTTCACCGTTCGTTCAGCGTGCGTTCACCGTTCGCTCTTCGTTCAAAGTATTGCGTTCACCGTTCACCCTGTGCTCGCGTTCATCGTTCACAAAACGTTCACCGTTCGCTCTTCGTTCCGTTTACTTTGCGTTCACCTTGCGTTCACCGTTCACTTATCGTTCAGTCTTCATTGCCATTCGGAACACCGGAGTGAAAGGACTTATCTTTTTGATGGTAAGGATTTACATGTTTTTTAATTAAATAACTTAGATATCGTGTTTAAAGAATAATTATTTCGTTGCAAAAATTATCTATGATATTTATATTTCTATTATTATAACTCAGCTATTACTTATTTCATGAATTTTCCCTGGAAAATAATTAATACATTAAGTACCTACATGTATGTAGAACGATGCTGAAATATTAAATTCAAAATAGGGCAATGTACAAATGCTTCACGCACGGCATCAATTTGATGTAATTTTAAAGAGGACAAATTATTAAATGTATAATAATTCATCCAAGTCTTTTACAGGACAAGAATACATAAAAAAATTTATTATTTATTTCTATGTAACACGTATTTAAACTACATGTAGGTTTGGGAATTATGAACAGTACTGCAAATTTCAGTTAATTAATTATCTTTAGAGCTAATTAAGTTGATGGTGTGGTTTTAAATTTTAGAAAAGACCAACTGTTTAAAATAGTCTTTTATTAGAGAAGAAACATTCCTTCCTTCTCCGTACCTCAACATGTTTAAAAAAATTTTTTTTTTGTTATTCAGTATAATTCAGATCCCCCCCCCCCCCCCGGTGCCTTTTCTCCCGAAATAAAATTCTTATCAAGTTTTTTCAGTATATTTTAATTATTATTTAATTTTTATTGTAACACAAGAAAATCAGTCTTAAAACCAACGTCAAACAGTCATTAAACAATAGTATTTTAGTATAAACTTGTGCCGACAGTAGTATTTTAAATTGGCAGGGAATATGTTTCACATTCAATTTAAAACTTAATCCTTCCAAGTATATACTCGAATTATTTTTTTTTCTGCAGGAATGCAAAAATCAGATTTAGAAATGATAGGGAAAAATATTAAAATTTCTTGGAATACTAAGTGACTCCTTGCCTTCGGCATGTTCGGTGAAACACGATTTCCACACCTCCACTGTGTCGAATTATTTTGATTGACAGCACAAGCACGCTACTACAAATATAGCACGGACTTCTGGGAACTTTGTGAACTTGATGATGGAAAATAAAAGCCAGTGATTACTGTCAAATGGATTTGTTAATCTAAAAAAAAAGATTACCTTTATTACCTTTATTGCTTGGAATATTTAGGACAAATAATTAGATTTTTTTATACAACATATATCTGAGAATCGAGGGGGTTATCTCTCTCTCTCTCTCTCTCGATCGATCGATCGATCGAACATTTCTCTGTTCAATAAAAACTATGACAACGCATTACTTATTTAGTTTTGAAAAATTAATCTACACATGTATTACAAATAATTTGAATGCCTCTTTCAAACATCTTGACCGAGTATAATCACGGCCGGGAAATGTCTACAGATACATGAAGAAGTTAGCTAAAATAATCGTCATAAAAGAATAAAAAGGCACATATATATATAACATTTTGCAGTAGAATTTAAATAAAACGATAATTTTTATGCTGTACGATAACAGTCAATGTCAACAGATAATTGTGAATTATAAAAAAAAATCCGTTATTTTACTCAGAATCGCTTTGGCACGGAAATACATGTACGGTTGTTTTAACCTCGTACAATGTAATTAATTCATTCTATAAGGAGCAGTTTTATCTTCAGAAGTCCACATTATTTTATTAGTGTAAAGAATAAGCATATTTATTTACTATATAAGTAGATTAATTTATTTTTTAAGTATACGCGGTAACAAATATACGTTTGACGGCGATTAAAATCATGTCATTAAAATTTCGATTTAAACATATAGGTATGTGCAGAAAAAAATGTTTTTTATTTATTTATTTATTGATTAATTTATTTATTAATTAATTTATTTATCTATTGTTTATCTCAGTAGTAGTTTTATCTTCTAAAGTTCACATTATTTTATTAGTTAAAAGAATAAGCATAATTATTTACTAAGATAAATTCATTTTTTAACTACACGCGGAAACAAAGACGGCGATCAAAATCATGTTATTAAAATATCGATTTAAACATACGTATGTGTAGAATTTTTCTTTATTATTTATTTATTCATCTATTTATTTTTCTTTTGTTTATTTATTGTGTATTTATATTTATTTTTGACATTTGAATAATAGAATAAAAGAATAATTTCAATACAAGGAAAAGACCAAAGGCATTCCGAATAAATCGTTCATCTTGCGTTCACCGTTCGTTCACCGTTCACATTGCGCTCGCGTTCGCGCTCCGTTCGCGTTCTGCGTTCACTCACCGTTCACCGTTCACACATCGTTCACCAAGTTGCGTTCACCGTTTGCACATCGTTCACTCACCGTTCGTTCAGCGTTCGTTCACCGTTCAGGTGGGAAAGTAGAACGTTTCAGGGACTGTAACTATAGCCCCGATACACAGACGCTTGGCTTTCTCATTTGAAAATCTCTCTCCCAATTTGCATATCCGTTTATATCGATCTACTGCGATAGCTATGAGAGTTAAAGTGGAACCCATGTTTGTAAACGATTCTATTGTTCTCAGCAGTTTACAAGCCGCTGGTGCATAGAACATGTATGGATATCGCAGGTCGGCAATTTCCACAGGAATCCCAAATACACATGTAAGAAGATCCAGAAAGGCCAAGTTAAGGATGAAATAATCCGATGAATTCTTAATTCTTTTCCGTAGATAGACAATACATACCATAATATTTCCGAATGTCCCCACTAACATCAGTAGTGCCATATAAATAATAACCGGAAGAAACCTTAATGCTGTTCTGTCGTTAAGTTCTTGGAGTAAAAGATCCGGGTCTTGATCCAAACTTGAAGAATTATTGGAAGAATCTGTTGAATTTACACTCAGGCTCATTTTTATACCCCCCGCTTGAAAAGCGGGAGGGTATATAGTAATCGTTAATTCCGTCCGTCCGTCTAGCTGTCCGTCCGTCCGTCCGTCTGTTACGCTTTGGGGTACCCATCTCTTATCCGCAACTCCTCTTATACCACTGAATGAAATTTGATGAAACTTTCACAGAATCTTTATTACATATTGCCATTGTGCACCTCCTATTTTACTTTTTGATCCAACAAATATTTTGGGTTTCCCATAGCAAAACATGGACACTGCCATTTATACACATATGGGAGGCGGGGGGTATCATTTAGTGAGCCCATTGCTCACAGTACCTCTAGTTTTTTTTACTTTCATCCAATGCTAAGACGTCTTTACTTATAGGATGCTGTTGAAAGTGTGACCTTAATTATATCAGGAAGTAAAAGTAGGAAACCAATCCATGAAATTAAACACTTTTTATTACTTCCTATTTCTAACTTGACAATATAGGTAAACAAATTATGAATTCTCCCTTTATTATACCCCCCGCTTGAAAAGCGGGAGGGTATATAGTGATCGTTAATTCCGTCCGTCCGTCCGTCCGTCTGTTACGCTTTGGGGTACCCATCTCTTATCCGCAACTCCTCTTATACTACTGGATGAAATTTGATGAAACTTTCATTGAATCTTTATTACATATTGCCATTGTGCACCTCCTATTTTACTTTTTGATCTGACACATATATTGGGTTTCCCATTGCAAAACATGGACACTTCCATTCATACACATATGGGAGGCGGGGGGTATCATTTAGTGAGCCCATTGCTCACAGTACCTCTAGTTTAAAAGGGGAAAATTTAAAACGCCGATAACAGAGGTTATGTGATAATTAGTGAAGCACTTCGGAAACTATCAAGTCTAAAAAAAAAAATAACAAGAATGAAGGATACATTTGTGTCCCGTCTATATCTCATAAGTATCCCCGAAAATAAACACGCACATTTGTACAGGAATGATATCAAATTGATGAAAATTATAATTACCGTTGAACTCAACGGGCATTACATGTGAAATATCTTGCAAGGCAAACGTTGACCATGCACATAATTTTTTGCAGGAACTAATTTGATCAATTAAAAGCTAATTCAATATTAAATTAAATTAATTACATGAAATAGCATTTATTGATTTACTTTTTAATTTATTTTTACCGGCGTGATTTTATCATTCATTGATAAATGGAATAAAAGATCTATTTGTACAAGTCTTTAACTTTTTATCAATAAAAATGTTGTCCATACGGGTGTATATTAATGTTCATTGTGTAGCAATATGACTATACGGCGTATGGATTATCCCTCTTTGTCTGTATATCTACTACATGTAACGGGAAGTCCGATACATGTGTTTAACTTAGTGGTCCATAGTAATATTTCAAAATTATATTATTCGATTGTATATGTAAAATCACGAGAAACTGGGCAAAATCATTGTCAATTTAAAAAAAAATATTAAAAAAAATATCAAGTAATATCTACGCACCAATTACAGCTTTATGCCTTAGAGTTATCCTTTACAGCCTATAAAATAAATTTATGCTAATAGAACTAAATGGAATTCAGTGCAGTTTCAGATGAGGTTGAATTTAACTTTTTTTCTTTACCTAACTATACATGTATCAGAAGGTTTGCATATGTATAAATCAAAATTTTAATTACATAATTAAGACCTCAGTCATTGTGTTTTAAAAAATCGATGCGAATGCTAAAGAATAATCCTATAGATCCAAATGCTGCCATAACTATAACATTAAAGCAGGGAATGATTTATAATAGCCGTTAAAGGTAAGCGGCTTAAAGTCACGTTAATCTCTGACTAATCCCTAAACTACAGAGAAACTTAATTATAAAATATCTGTTTTAAACAGTTGTCAGTCTAATACTTGTAGTATAAACAAAATTTGTGACTTGTACAAACGATTTGAGATTGGAGATGAAGATATGAAAAACTTGGATTTACAAACAAAATGAGTTCAACGGTAATTATAGTTTTCATAAATTTGATATCATTCCTGTTCTAATTTGCGTGTTTATTTTTCGGGCAAACTTGTGAGATATAGACTGTCAATATCGGTATAGATTATTCCTGTTTATTGAAAAAAAGCAAATATAAGAGATACAGAGAAAATTTCGCTTTTAACAGCACAAAGTACCATAAAGATCGTAAATTTAAATTAAAATATTAATTTAATTTAGTTGTAAAATGCATGCTTTGATTCCTTTTATAATAATATATATTTTATTCAAGCACAGATCCGGAATTCGATTGGGGAGGGGGGGGGGGCTAGGTTAAGGGGGAGGGGGTTACATTGTATGACAAATCGCTTTCCTTTAAATATTATGGTATATGCATGTATTAATCTCTTTATTTTTTATATTTCCATGGGTCATTGTTTTTAAAGGGCAGAAGGGAATTTTTCCAAGGTCTTTTGGGGAGGTTACTTTTCTATACATGTTTATATATAAATTTAACTATTGGGGGGGAGGTTGAACGTCCTAACCCCCCCCCCACCCCCCACATATGCAGCTGCCCATGTAATTTTAGAATAGCAAAAAGAAAAACGGTACAGTATTCATAAAATGCACTTTATCAATATAAAACTGTCAAGTAAAAGGGCATGCTTGAGAACCGAATAATATCGGCTTATTTATTTTAATTAACAGTTTTTAACCTTGTGTTTAATAACTTGTCAGATAATTTGTTTTCTTTGATTTATGAAATAGACCGTCGTATCACTTAAAACAAAATAGGTTATAAAAATTCTCAGGTATCGATTAAAAATCCATGTACATGTAATAATTCAAACCTTTCTTGTACACCACTCAAATATAATTAATGTATTGTATCAATGATAATAATAATATTTTGACATTGCAGAATTTAGAGCGATATCTTAAAAATCGTCCAAGGCGTTCTTCGCTGTCGCAGTTTGGCGGGAAAGATGCTGTCAAATTACTGCGCGAGGAAACAAGTAACAGCCTCCATCTTGGAAGGCGGACTTCCGTGTTTTCCTCGGAACCCCTCTGGGAACCTAAGGAAGCCTCGTCGGTTACCACAGAGAGACGTGCTTCTAAATCCAATCTACTGGACAAGAGGTACCAAAAAACCTTACAAGATTATAAAAAAAATTTTACTGAAGTATTTTTTTTTTCAAGAAAAACTTTCTTGATCAAACATTTCTGAAAGATCCACAATATCAAGCATTCATACTTTATCATTGAAGGACTTAAAGAAGATCTAGAAATACTATTTTTAGATTAATTGTATGAAAAAAATAATGAATATATTGTCCTTGCAATTGTATATCTTTATTTGCTACTTTTTGTTATCAATATCCTTTTTCGCAATCGCAGAAAAGGCAGTGTCAAAGGACAACAGAGGGTAAGACCAGTGTTTGGCACCCGGTTTTGGGTTTCTTGGCCAACCTTACACAGTACTAGTATTTTCCATGTTTTCATTATGCAATCATTTCTTCATTCCAGCACATTGTACTCCGTCAAAAGAGAAAACATAGCCAGCCGAGAGATGGAATTCCGAAATAAACCTATAGTCAGACATTCCGATGATCCTAATTTCAATATCGAACAGAAGAAGGAGAGGGACTACATAATGAACTCTCGTCTCGGGGACAACAGTCTCGGGAAGTTTTCTAGAGCGATAATCCAGCATTTCTTTAAGGCACCTGCCCCAAAGTCTCACCCCGGGTACGGAATGCCGCGCCCCGACACCAGGGAGTCGAATCCGTTCAGAATGCTGATGCAAGATCTTCAAAGAGATCCCAGCATGCTTCAAATCAGTGCATTTCCCTCTCTTACAAATCCAGTGAAGTGCGAGAGCGGAAATGAGTTCTGTGAGATTTTAGGATCGAGCGCCTGTTCTAGTTGCATTGAGAAAACAAATCGTTATATTGGAGATGAGTTACAGAGAATCATGTTTCCTAAGTTAGACTTAACTCGCCAGAGACTTGTTCAACCCAAGTTAGCGCGCGTCATGAAGGAGGGTCACATGATGCAGGTCCGGAAACGGAGACTGAGGGAATTACATTTTCCGGATCATATTTCCATGCTTAAAAGAAAAGAAACGCACATTACTGATAAAAGTGCTCATTTTAAGAAAAGTGCTAAAAAGAAGAGAAAAATGAAAACATTAAGTTCCTTTGTACGATCCACTCCAATGACCCCTGGGATCGCACTGGCCACGGTGAAGGAGGAATCCATCGCCAGTGTCTGACGTGTTTCATGATTTGACGTACAATTAACAGTAAAGGAAACCTTGACAAGAAAAGCGAATATTAAATAACGTGTATTTTGTTTAGACTCACAATGGTGATTTTTTTACCCTTTCGGTGCACTTGCAGTGTACAAACAAATTTTTCAGCCAAGGAAACGAAATGTTCATCCTTCAAATAGTGCATGATATGACATTTCAACTCGAAAATTAAACACTTAATCGCAAATGTTTATATCTTAGAAGTAATTAATACTGGTATAATTATGTCTCATTCGATCAAAGAATGAGAAAGTTATATACTAAATATATTATTTTTCTATTATCTTAAAGGGGTCTGGACACAGTTTTATTGTTGCTTTCAATTTATAATCAAAAAATAACTTCAATAGAATGTATTTAGTGCTAGCTTACTTGGAAATCCTTACAGTTTGACGATAACGACAATTTCGTAATATATAACACTGTACAATCCCGAGCTCTGTTATTGTCAATATTTACTTTTACTGGGTATGTTCCATTTGTGACCCCTATGCACATCACTGGACACAAAATGATAAAAGCTGGTGTGTTGAATTTTGCTCAAATAAAAGTGTACGAAAACTCCAAGATAAAATCATTTTAAAAAAGACATAACATTTTATCGAATTTTTTTCACATAGAAATTGGTTTTACTTTACTATTTCACACATAAAGAAAGACAGAAAATATATCTGAATACTTTGTAATGTTATATTAGAGGTATTCC